GGTGGAGGTGGTGGAGGTGGAGGAAGCGCTAGTGCTTTGCTTGGCATTGTATGTGTAGTACCCCCCACATCATCACCTTCTTTGATGGGTATATTGGGGGATAGCATGTTGCCTAACCTAAGCTGGTGAGGGGCTGAAGAAACAGCGACCTCTCCCAATCCCTTCTGTTCAAGATGTCTATTGAAGGCAAATGCATTACAGCCTGCTGGGCTCTTGGAAGAGGCCTGTAACAGAGCTGCAGTTGGCATGGGGCCCCTTGCAGCCATAGGCATTTGGTAAAACTGCTGTCTGTGTGAGGTAGCAGCTTCTGGGTGGAAGCTGCCGTTCTTGTCAACGTGAAACAGGTTCTGCTGGAAGCTACAGGAGGGGAGCAGTCGCTTCTGCTGTTTGACCTCAGGGCTGTGGGCCATTCGGTTCTGCATGGAGTGCTTGTTCAGCCACTCCTGTTTAAAGGGCTGGCTGTGCCCTAGCTGGTTCATGCTGGAGCCGATAACACAAGGCACCCCTTTGACATCGGGGTCCCCTAACAGTTTCCCTGCTTCACATTTAACTTGTGTGTGGTCCCCAACAGTCCTGGCCACTCTCTTTTTGGGGTGGTTTTCTCGCTTTCTCATTTGGAGTGGTGCAAGGGTCCCTGCCAAGTAGCCCTTACCATCTGGATTTGGAGAGCTGGATGGCATCTCCACAATGCTCCTCTCTGGCGCTGCTTTGCCCACTGAGGTAGTTTGAAGAGGCAAAGGAAGCCTGTTAATTTCGAGCTTGGCTCCCAGTCTGGGCTGCGGCAACACTTTTTCCAAAGGCAGGTTGCCCTGTAGTAACTGAGTCACCAGTGGGTTGTTAGCCTCCACAGAAGACAGACGGCAGCCTGAGCTCCCTGTACTCGGAACCCTTTTCAGGGTGTCTGTCGCCAAGGAAATTGCCTCTTCCATGGGACTGGCGGTGGAAGCCTTTGAGTTCTGCGGTTGTTGTACGCTAGAGGTTACCTCTGTTGCTGGAGAAGGTAGCTCAGCTCCAGGGAACTCTTCTGTGTCCATTCTAAAGCCTTTGTCCACTTCAGGAGCTTCAGATTTCACAGGGAGTGTGACATTTGTTATAAGATTTCTGGGGTGAAGTTCTGGCACGTGGGAGTAGTTGGCATGCTCGGTTTTGATAGTCTTTGGGCAACTCGGTTCTAGATATTCTTTCTGCTTACTTGACCCCAAGTGGCTACCCAGAGGCTGTCCTGTGTTCCTCATTCCATCATCATTCCAGCAAATCCGGTTACCTGGGTTATATTGATTACTACAGCTTGTGTCTGTTTCACTTTTGAAAGTAGTTGGGCCAAGTGCCTGCTCAGCAAAGCTGTGACTAGGTGCAGGCACCTCATTCAGTTTATCTGGTATAACTAGGGGTAATTCTTGGAGACCTGTGCAGGAGGCCTGCAGGGCTTTACAGTCTGCTTCAGAAGCAGCAATGAAACTGGAGCCATGAGCTACACTTTCATTTGCAACTGGTTCCGGCCTACTAATAACTGACACCTGGGGGCATGCCAGGGACTGTATGGGTGCGTCTGTCCTCACTAACCTACTCTGGAGATCCAGGCTGGTTTCTGCACTTTCAGTGGAGACTGTCAGAGACAAGCTGGAGGTTAGCGTGGTGCTGTGGTCCACAATGACTTTGCATGGAATTGATCGGTTGATGGCTGCTGGTGCAAAGCCACCGGGTGGTTGCTGAGGTTTTCCAGAATGATCCGCTCTGGTCCGAGGCCCTGCATTTTTGTCTACACTTTCAGCATTTGCGTTGGGAGGATTATCGTAAGAGTTTATTGTGAACACGTTGCCAGTAAACATTGCAATGGGCTGGCGTGCAACCAGAGAGTCTGTGACTGCTACCGAGTCACTGCAGCTCAGGGCTGCCCTCACAGTGGTCCCCATGGAAATGGTGGCCTGATCTTCACTCCCAGGCAGGGCCATCTTCTCAGAAGGAAATCGGTTATTTATTCCTGCTGGGGGAATCAAGACAGAGCTCGTGGAGAGATGGTTTGGCAAATTTCCAACGGATGGAGTTGGCACGGAGGTGTATGGACTGGTGACTAAGTTGCTGGCACTGTTGCTTGCTATCAGCAACTGCTTATCATCCACGGAGCTGGGGATGCTTGAACTCTCTGTAGCAATCGGAAGGGGAGTGTTTTCAATACATTTTGGTATAATGGCTATGCATGGAGTGTCAGCTGCCTGAATGGTTTTTAACATGCTCATATTACAAGCAGAAATGGTTGTGTTGACACTGTCGACAGGCATTAGAACAGATGATTTGTCAACAGGACCTACAAAGGGATGTTCTGTAATTGCTCCCGACATAGTAGTGCTGCAGACAGACACAGGGACAGGATTTTTATTAAAAAGCCCAGGCACACTGCTGCTTTCAGAAGAGGTAGATGAAACAAGTTTCTCAGGTAAATGTGGCATGGGGATATTTTCATCAGAACTCTGCCCAGATAAGTCAGTGGCCGTTTCTGGGACTTTAGGCAGGTTAAGTGACTGCTGTAATACAGTGGTAGCCTCCCGGAGGTGAGCTGACTTGTTAGGAGACCTGCAGTTCGGATTGACAATGATGACACCAGTTGAAGCTTCGATTTTTGTGTCTGGAGTTGAAGACACTTCTAAGTTTGGAGGCCCTTCCTTGGAGTTGAGCGGAGACAACCAAGCCTCTTTAGTGGTCTGGAAGAGGTGGGCTCGGGCTTGATGCTTGGCGAAGAGCTTAGCCTTTGTCTGTTCTTTGATATGTGCTAGGGTTCTGGCTTTTCCACCTTCTCCTGGGCTCCCCATGGCTCCAGAGACGATGCTGGCGGCGGCAGCTACAGCAGCTGCAGCCGCGGCTTCTCGCTGAGCCCTTGCTTGTTGAGCACGGGCCTTGATGTCTGCAAGGGTCCTGGCTCCTGTATTCCTCCCCCCACTAACGGCAGTGCCAGTGGATGCTCGAGACTCGGGCTTAGAGATAGGCTGGCTCTTGATAATAAAAGGTGGTCCAATTTTGGAAAGCTGGATCTAAAAGAAGGGGAGAGTAAAAAGATTTAGTGTTTCATACATAATTACCAAGAGGTATATAGAGTAGGATAATACCTTGACAATGCCTGCAATGACTAATATTGTGGAAAAAATGACACCTAAATCCCTGAAGGAGCTCTAGAGGATAAAGCAAGAGTAAATGTAGTAGCACAAGTGTGAAAATCAAGATTTCAATCTATAAAAACCTCAGTCAGTCACCTCATTTGGCAGGGAAATGCTGACTCCTTTTGATGCCTCATAGAAAAGGAAACAAAGATAATGCTTCTTAAAATGAAGATAACTAAAAAGACTTAGTGATCCTTAGTTTTTAAATTATTATTCTTGTTGATTCAAAACACTGGGACCCTAATGCAACTTGACTTTGACCTAACTTTCTTTGGTCCAAAGAAAAAAGCCCTGGCCAACAAGTCAGGAAGTTAGAATTCTCATTTTTGCTTTACGCAAAAGGGTTCTGTGAACCTTCTTAAACACTGTGTACCTCAGTTTCTCCAATAACTGAGCTAAGCCAGGGACTGTTACTTACTTTTTGTGTGTTCCCACAGCACATTGCACGCTGCCTTACATACACAATAGAAGTTTGTAAACTCAGTTGTAAAATAAAACGAGTTCTTTCCGGTCTATTTCCTTCGCAGAGCTATTATGAAGATGAAATTAGACTCTGTTTGTAACAGTGCTCTCCTTTCCAAAAGGTTGTTGTTTTCATAAAGCAAGAGTGTTCCCTGGTGTTCTGCCCCTAAGATAAAGTATGGGCTGTCCAGTTTCATTTGGAATTTATAATCCATAATGTGCTAAATTAAGTAAACGACCCAATCCACACTGTTTAATTAATTGTGCAAATTAAGACACCCCACCCCCAGTGATGCTCATAGAACTCAAGGCCAAACTTATGAGATCTCACAACCAAATCAAGTCCCGTGGCGGGATGCTCTAGTCACAAAGAACAATGAGCTGTATGTAGATTTGTAGAGCTGAGAGGGATCTGATTAAGCCCCTCATTTTACAGTAAAAAAAAATCCCAAAAAACAATTTACAGAGATAAAATTGTCTAGCCCGGGGTTATGGTGCAGCACTGTAGGCTATGCACTGGACCACAAGGTTGGTTTGAACCCCAATGTCAGCGGTTCAGACTCACCAGCTGCTCCTTGGAAACCCTATATAGGATAGTTATGAGTCAGAACCAACTCAACATCATTTAACAACAAGAAGTCCAGGGTCATAACACAATTGGGTGCTGTTTAGATGTACTATGATTTCTTTAATCCCTGGGTAAAACTTTCACTACAGAATTTATATCTCTCCTTTGAATACATACATATTTACAATATAGCCACCTAACACACACTAAAAGATTGGGTCAATTTAGAATTGTACTTAGAGACTCTGATGGATGTAATGAGCTATTCTCATTGTCAAACTGCTTGAGCTGCCTCTCTTCTAATCCCAAACCTTTCCAGGTTAATTTAGCAAGGGGGCTTGATTTTCCCCTTTAAAGAAAACCCTTAGTCTACAAAGTTAAAACATTTCAAAAAATTGAAACTAGTTATAATCAAACAAGAACGTACAAAACAAGCAAACACCAAATTTGCTTATAGTCTGTATCTCTCTCCTACTACCTATCACCTATCAATATCTGTCTGTCTATCTTTCTATCATCTACTTGTGGTGTCGTGATGACCTCATGTCTTTTCTACCCATAGTCTGTAACTTCCACCAAACAACGTTTCTGCTCTGCTGGGTCTATGTAAGAGAAGGTGAGAGAAGATGCTGAAGGGATGGCATGATTCAGCTGTAAATGTTAGCAGAGTTCACTGAAATCAGAAAAACTTGAAGCTACAGTATGGGTGTAAAATATGCCATGTTAGAAGCAGGAGGGGGGAAATCTTACTACCATGTTAGATGAGCCAGAAGTGGAACTTGTCCTCTGGACCTTGAGATCCCTGTGCATTGAATTTCCTTGACCCAGGGACAGAAAAATACAGCACTGAAGGAGTGTCAGAGGAGCAGCAGAATCAAGAACTAGAGCAGAAGACAACATGGAGATTCCCAGCCTAAGCACAGCTGAGTGACTTCTGGCGGGAGATTTGCTTGCAGAAAGGAGTGCCTCCAGGGCCTTACTTGATGGAGCTAGGTTTGCTGACCCATGGAGCTCTGACGCTTATGGTGGAATGGTTGTCCTATGGACGTTTAACAGAAGCTGACAGGAACAACTGTGCCCTGAGCATTTTCTGATCTTTTAGTGGCACCTGTTAACTTTCCTAATAAACCCCATATTGTCTAGGAGTTCTCTGTGACCACTGCAATGAATTATCGAACCAAGCTGAACAGAGCGCTTTGGGAGGAATGGTTGGTACTTCACATTTTTTATACTATCTATCAAAGTCAGTTTGAACTGCAAGTTTGGCAATTCAAACTCACCAGTCGCTCCTCAGAAACCCTATACAGGGTCGCTATGGGACAGAACCGACTCAACAGCACTTGAAAATACCATCATCTACCTTTAAATAAACTGCATATAAGCTTGAAATTTAGTTCTTAAAAAAAAAAAATCAGCCTGGTATATTTAAAGATATTTATTAAAAGCATACAAATATTTTTCTTTCCATTGCTTTTGAAATTAGAATGTATTATAAGAGCCCTGGTGTGGCACAGTGGGTTAATGCACTGGACTGCAAAGTCAGTTTGAACCACAAGGTCAGCAGTTGAAGCTCACCAGTAGCTCCTTGGAAACCCTATACAGGATGGCTATGGGTCGGAACAATGACTCGAGACTGGCACTTAACAACATTTTATTAAACAGAGTAACTATGGCCATGCTCTTACAATTTAATCTCGCAGAGATCAAGTATCTCCTCAAAAAGTTGATTCCAGAGCATACCAAAATGACGAAAAAATAATTAAGAAAAATAAAGCTTGACTATGTTTAGGCTCCTACACCAACCCTATAATGCAATAATACATTTTGAGTCTAGAACAAAATAAATGGACTCAGACAAAAGCATTATCTGGAATCCACAGTACCTCGGTGTCCTGAAGCTCCTTCAGTCCCTATTAAACTCTCTTTAAATATTTTTCAGCACTCGCTGATGTTTTACTGTATGTATCTAATCTTCTTATATGAGCTCAATGTACAGCCTTTAAAAGAAGCAATAAGTTATTAGGCTGCATGTTGCTAGAATTAGATTACAAACAAGCACATACATCTGGAAGATTGACTTTACTACTGAAAAGTTCAGTAACTAGTCCTATAAATAATAATGCATCTAATAGAAAAAGCTTATCTATCAAATACAAATAGCACTTTACTTATCGCCATACCTTGAGAGGTGGGACCCTGGGTTCTTCTCTTGGAGGCTGTTCTTTCTCAGGTGGACTGCTGGATGGTACATTGCGGGTTGACTGATCATCTTCTATCCTAGCTCTTTTTTCCTTACAGATTCCAAAGCTGTGCTGCTCTGCAGTTTTCCTCTTTGATATTTCTGATTCTCTTTCATTTCTTATCCCATCAGGTGACATGGAGGGCTCTGATGACTTGGAAGTATGTGAGGTCTCCAATCGATTCTGTGTGCTTCCTTGCTTATGCGTTCTGTTTCTAGGGCCTTCTGAAAATGAAGCCTTGTCCACTAATGAAGGATACTGCTTGTCCTGTAATTTAGCTGATGGAAGCTCACTTCCTTTCCTCTCAGTCTCCTCAGAAAAGGCAGATAATTCCAAAGGGGAGGACACTGCCTTCTTATCTATTCTTTGTAGGACACTATGATTTTTCACTTTGATGATTTCTGGAGAAGGAAGTTCTTCATTTGGAGGGTAGGATTTCTCAGGTTCAGCATGGGATTTACAAGGCTGCTGATTCATGGTCTTATTGTGTAATTCTTCAAGTGGAAAGGCATCAGGAACAACGGAAGAAGAACCCATTTTGATAGCTTCAGGAGCATTCGACAGAGTCTTCTGCTGAGAGAGAAGGCTCTCTCCTAGGGGTCTGACTGGGGTAGAAGCTTCATCTTTTTGTGAAGAGTGTGGTTCTTCTGGCATGGAAGGTGACTTTCTTGGTTGATGCAACATTCTTTCACTCAGAGAAGAATTAGTAGTTGGAGAGGTTTCGGAAGGAAGCGATAAATTGGATACGAACGTGGTCTCAGATGTGAGAAGCATGGAAGACACTGAAGAAGTTTCTGATGTCAAAGGTAAATCAGACATTGGTGATGTCTCTGATGTTAAAGGTAAGTTTGATACAGGGGATGCTTCTGATGTTAAAGGCAAGTTGGACATAAGAGACGCTTCTGATATTTCCGGTGAAGTGGATAATGGAGATATTTCTGACATCAAAGATGCATGGAGATTTTCATCAGTGGGCTTTCTCTGATTATATGTGTCTGTATTTTCAGTGCTGGACACCTCAGAACAGAATGCGGTCTCAAGGGAGGCTGGAGTACATGATTCTTCGCAAGTGGATTGTGTTTCTCCACTTGGGGATGTCAGGCTGGGACAGGCACCTTCTGGGCTCTCAGAAGAGAAGGATGTTTCAGATACGCAAGCATTTTCAGAAAGCTGTTCATCGGGATCACTCTGCAACTCCATATCTACAGAAATTGCTTCATTTGGAAACTGGCCTTCTAAAGATGACCCTGTTGGTAATTTTGGAGTATTGGTCTCTAGTGCAGTTTCTGGCTCCCTATGTTCTATGACTTGAGTCACAGAAGTGGAAGGTACAAGAGAGTCACAGACTTCTATTTGATCAATAACAACGGACATTTCTTCCTGGGGGGATTCTGATTTCTCTTCCACCTTAATTTCTATGTGAGGCAAAGTTTCTAAAACATCATTCATCACGACACAGGATTCTAAGTTATCTTCAGGCGGTGAGATGTGGGGCTCTGCATGGGAACTGTTTGCAGTTTCAGACTCCTCAGAAAACTCAGGCATTGTCTTATGATCTTCATCCTGGCATTCACAGATGCTTGTCTCTACCTCTTCTGCAATTTCCTCCTGAATCACAGATTCTTCAGGAATCAAGATATCCTCTGATTCAGATTCTGCCATTCCATCTTTAGCTGGAATCTCTACCATAGGACAAAGTGTGGCACAGAGCTCAGGCTCTGGGGAAACTGGATTTTTCATGCTTTTTGACTCTTGTTCTTCCAAAGATGTCTGTGCAGAAGAACTCATAAGACTAGAGGTCCCACATGAGGAACTGCTTTCAGCTGCATCATTGTTTTGTCCAGAAGTGAGCTTCAAAGATTCCTCTCTTGACATGCCCAACCTGAGCAAAATTAAATACAGTTATTGTTTAATCACAAATCAAGAAAGGTACAACTTGCATCTCTCACAAATAACCTTCAATAAGAGTACATGTATTGCATTCATTTTATAATCAGTAAGTAGCAAGTTTAATTTATGTAAACTAGTTATGATGACTTAACTTCTATGATTACATATGCCTCTACTACTTTTACAACCATAAACAAAATCAGTTCTACTTTTGGTTACAAAAGGAGATTGTTTTTATTTTGTAAGCAAGGAAACATGAGCCTTACCAAGTGACAGTAAAAGGACTAAGTAAAATTACTTTAAATTGGTTAAGCAAGCCAAGGTTTTTGTGTTCACTTTTGTCAGTTTTGAGAAATTAACTGTTAACATGGTAACATTCCATAAATATGGAAAGCTACAGACTGCAAATATTTAGAAAATATGGACTGAAAAACAAAAGAACATATAAGCCATTGCTGTTAAGTCACTTCCAGCACTTCCAAAATGGGAAGTTATACTGCAAAGATTTAGAAAACATGGCAAGAAAAACAAAAGAATATATATCCCAGACTCTGGGTTCTACAAAGGAAAAAATGGCATCAGGATTGGAGGAAGACTCATTAACAACCTGTGATATGCAAATGATACAACCTTGCTTGCTGAAAGTGAAGAGAACTTAAAACATTTACTGATGAAGATCAAAGAGCACAGCCTTCAGTCTGGATTACATCTCAATGTCAAGAAAACAGTAATCCTCACCACTGGACCAATAAACAACATTCTTATCAATGGAGAAAAGATTGAAGTTGTCAAGGACTTCATTCTTCTTGGATCAACTATCAACACTCGTGGAAGCAGCAGTCAAGAGATCAGACAATGTATTGCATTAGGCAAATCTGCTGCACAAGACCTTTTTCAAGTGTTGAAGAGCAAAGATGTCAGCTTGAGGACTAAGGTGCGTCTGACCCAAGACATGGTATTTTCAATAACCTCATATGCATGCGAAAGCTGGACAGTGAATAAGGAAGACCGTAGAAGAACTGATACTTTTGAGTTATGGTGTGGAGGAGAATATTGAAAGTGCCATGGGCTGCCAAAAGAACCAATAGATCCACTTTGGAAGAAGTGCAGCCAGAGTGCTCCTTGGAGGCCAAGATGGCTAAACTTAAGTCTCTCATACTTCGGGCATATTGTCAGGAGGGACTAGTCTGGAGAAGGATATCATGTTTAGTAAGGTGGAGGGTCAGAGAGAAAGAGGAAGACCCCCAGAGAGATGGATTGGCAAAGTGACAGCATCAATGGGCTCAAGCTTGGTAACAGTAGTGAGGTTGGCCCAGGACCGGGCAGTGTTTTGTTCTGTTGTGCATAAGGTCGCTATGAATCGGTACTGACTCGATGGCACCTAATAACAACTGTCAGTTCTGACTCAGAGTGTCCCTACAGGACAAGGCAGACTTGTCCCATAAGGCTTCCAAGGTTGAATATCTTTAGGAAAGCAGTCTGCCACAACTTTCTTCAGAGGAGCAGCTGGTGGGTTTCAACCACTGACTTTCAGTTAGCTGCTGAGTGTTTTAAATACTGTACCACTAGGCCTCCTCAAAAGAAGGTCTTATACCTAAAATTTCACAAAAGTCAAAAAAGTAGAAAGATCCTGATATAGAAAATTATATCCTAGGGGCCACCAAAAAGTGTGTGGAACAATGGAATTGAAAAGGTAATGGAAGTTTTCCATGAATTTTTTGAAGTGCCCTCACAGGGTTCAGAGGATGCAGCTTGCCCAAGTAATTGAGAAGAATTAAAAATGAAAGTGTTAAAAAATGCTGATACTGAAAGGACTTCAAAAATTAAGCTCTCAAAACAACAACAACAACAAAATTAAGCTCTCTTAAGGAGTCCTGATAATGTAATGGATTAAGAGCTAGTCTGCTAATAGCAAGGTCAGCAGTTCAAATCTATCAGCTACTCCTTAGGAGAAAGATGAGGCTTTCTGCTCCTGTAAAGATTTACAGCCTCAGAAAACCCTGTACAGGGGTTGCTATGAGTCAGAAATGACTCCATGGAACTCTACCACCACTCACGCAAAGCAACCTAAAAAGCACTACTCAAATACCTAATTTTTAACATCCAAGTGTCTAACCTAAGGCAAAACAAAAATTTCAATAATGAATGTCTGGGTTCATGAGAGCTGATTTTACCAACTTAATTCTGTGTGAGATTTTTGACTATGAAGATATCCACATGAATATTTTTAAACAAGAAAAAAGAGGGGGGGAAAAAAAAAGAAGAAGAAAGAATCAATATACCCTAGTGTTCAGGTCAGAGGGCAAAGCTCATCTGAGGTATAATCAAGGTTATTGTAAATCAATATTTCTTTTGTACTAAGTTCAGCTTAAACATCAGATGGCAGTGATATATGTTGTCCTAACTGAAGTTAAATTAGAGCACAGGCCATGAAAATACTACGAAGAAAGGACAATTTCAGAGACAGAAATTCACTTAAGTGAAGAAATTCACTTATAATGCTAATGATACAGGGAAATGACTCAGTACTATCTACTCTAACCTTTCATTAGATAAAATCCTCAAAATGAAGGGGAAATAAAATTGAGCACATTCTTCGGATATTTGATAATCGCCTAATTTACTAAAAATCAAAAGATTCTGAAAACATGGAAGATACTGCCTTCATAATTAGTCTTTTTCCTCCAACTTTCGCTAAGATGAATTTATCACCACTCATCTGTCAGTTGGAAGCAAAGAGGAAGGATACGGACTGTTTGACGATGCTGGAGATCTCATGATACAATTTTACAAGACCAATGACTTTTCTTCATTGCAAATACCTTTTGTTGGACAACATAAATAACAACTATACACGTGAACCTCAGCAGATGGATTACACAGGAGTCAAGCTGGTTACATCTGTGGGAAGAGACTGCTGACAAGCTCAATATCACCAGCCAAAACAAGATCAGGAGCCAACTGTAGAACAGACAATCAATTGCTCATATGCAAGTTCAAGCTGACGCTGAAGAAAATTAAAACAAATCCATGAAAGTCCAAATATGATCTTGAATGCATTTCACCTAAATTCTGAAACTACCTCAGAAACAGATCTGACTCAAATGATCAACACTGAGTTAACATATACACGTATGTGGGTACTGTCTATTACCCTAAACAGTAACAACAACATAATAAACAGTGTGGCTCTGTAGGATAAGTGCTGGACTGTTAATCACAAGATCCGCAGTTCAGACCCACCAGTCACTCCTTTGAAACTCTATAAAGAGTCACTATGAGTTGCAACCAACTCAATAACACTTAATAACAACAACATTGTATCATACATAAGCAGAGTAAACCAATAAAGTAATAATAAGTATTTCAAATAAATACATGCCAAAGTCTTGGGAAAACTCAGAACAATTAAAAGGCACAGGGTTTCATTGTCACATTAAAGTTTTCTGGCACTAAGAAAAAAAATCCTCAAACATGAGGGAAATGAAGGTAATCTAGGCTTAACAAAATCTGAAGAACAGTGGATGAAATGTCAAAATTTCATCTGTCATCCAATACTTAATAAAACATAGAAAAGGACAAGAGAGAAGCCCACTGATGTAAGAAAAAATAAACTTTATTGATAAAGCACTATTTCATTATTTTCTTGAAGAACCTTTTGCATTCAGAGCATGGTGGCAGTGACAGGGAACCATGTTTACTCATCATTTACTCCAGAGCCAGGGTCCTAACATTTCATTAGAAAAAAATCCCCAAATTGACTTCTGGGTTGAATTATTTAATTGTGATTTGGGTAATAGTTTCAAGAGCAAATCTATTTTCATTCAGGAACTCCTACCCCTTTGTTTTGTAATCCCCATTTTCATTTGTCCTTCTTTCCTATCCCTGCCTGTCTTCTGAACTGTTTCAGGACAAATGCTGTCCTTTTGATCTTGAATGGTTGATTATTCTAAGGTATATGTACCTCCTCCATAGTGTTATGGTTCTCTTTATTGACCTGGCTATTGCTTGGCTGGATAGGGTTGAGTTTAGTTACAGGCTGAAAGCATAATTAATGAAGGGTCATCATTTCAGGGGTTCCACCAGCCTCTGTTTGAACAGTGAGTCTG